CCAGAGAAAACTCTCTTTCAATTGATTACCTCAAAGTTATGATCTGAGTAAAGGAGTAGCTTCTCACCCTAATCTTCTTACAAATGATTGGCTATAATTACATAGTGTTAGGTCAGACCGTGAGGGATTGGAAGACGTTAAGTAGCAAACCACTGAGAATCCTGGCACAGCCAAGGTGATACAAAACCAATCACATATGGTATAGAGCATTTCCCAAAAATATTTCCCACAAAATCTTTTTTTTTTCTTCAACAAATGCTGCTGTGATTTCATGCGCTGTGATGTTCCACATGATGTACCTCAAGAGAAGTAGTCTAGAGATCTCAGATTCAATGAAGTCAAAAGGCCAGATTCTGCATGTTAGGGCCTTCCCTGGCGATACTGTCAGTGCTTTCAGAAATCACAGGTGTTCTTAGTGGGTGCATTTCAACTCCTCAACAAAGCATACGAAGTATTTGATTAACTGGTCTACCTTCCTTTCAATCATCTTATCTGCCTTCCAATCCCAAGTAATGTAAACCCCAACTGAGTACGATTCTATTTCCTGAGTCAACTGCACAGACGCTGTTTCGTTCCCTGGACCCAACATCTCCATCCCTGGTATTCCAAAACTCATTTCAATATCACCTTCCCTGGAAAGAGCAGCCTTCCTTGCACTCTAACCAATGTAAGAAAGAAGTTAAGAAAAGTTTGATTTAGATCACACTCATTTCTCGAGGAAGAAGATATTTGAGCTTGAAAATGGAAAGGTCAAGCTGAGTTCTTATTACCAATAGGTATGAGGTCAACAGGGCTCATCCCTGGTTTGGGAGTATCCCAGAAATTTCATCTATCTAGCTTCCTGATAAGGGCACATTGAGTAGCAAGGAAGTATTAAACCTGTAGATAGCAGGCTTTAGATGAGGAATGTATTTGAAGTTCCCATTCAGAGATATTGAATTTGTTCATCTTCAGGTTTTATTACATCCAGGTTTTGTACTTGTGGGAAAAGGTAGGGATTTAGAAGAGTTGGACCTGGGTGCTAGTTTGGGGTCTACCACTCACCAATGTGGAATTCTGAACAAACAAATTAGCCTCCTTGGACCGTAGTTAACTAACCAAGGAGATGAGATTCCTACAAACGACTGAAGGGAGCCTGAAGAGTATCAAAGTAAAAGAAGGAGCTGTCCTCTAAGCCCATCCCTAGGACATGGAGGCAGGAGGCCCATAGGAGCAATGAGTTGATAGAAAACTTTCCAGTTTTCATTTTATTATTTCTATCCTACCCTCAACAGGAGGAGCTCTGTTGGCATAATGCTTATGTCTTGGGCTGTGGTCTGCAAGGTCCGAAATTCAAAACCACCAGCCACTAGGAGGGAGAACTATAAGGCTTTCTACTCCCGTAAATCTCTACTCCCATAAACAGTTACGGTCTCAGTGGCACTGAGAGAGAGAGAGAGAGAGAGAGAGAGACAACAGTCCACAGCAGTCATGATCTTCACGGGGGCTGAAGTTCACAGATACCACAGAGATTTTCAAAAGAAATTCCATGAAAATTCAGAAGAACCATGTGGATCATTCAAATCTTCTTAAAGCTCCATTGGCTGGAACAAATGATGTTATTGCTCCTGCTTTGGCAATAAGCCATGGGAGAGTTTGTCATAGTTGAGCATAAGAACTTACACGTGACATTTGAATCTGATTGTGGGGAAAGTGTAAAAGAGGGGAAACATACTTTTCAGAGCTCTGAGGATGCAATGGACACACGAAATGTCATCAGCTAAAAACAGCACGAGTTTGCTGTGTGTCAGTCGCTGGCATTGGGGATTAGAGGACAGAGTGTCAACCTTTAACAGCAAGTGCTTTCAGGATTTCCTTTGTCCCCCTTTGTTTGTTGCCATCCTCTGGAAGCACAAGTTAAGCTTTAGGTAAGGGACAAAGCAAAGAGTGGTGACTAAAGTAGTCTACACTTAATTTAAAGTTCTCTTGTCGCCATAGGCTGAAATGAGAGGGGCCATTTCCTTCTATTGTAATCAGAAGAAATCAAAGAAGCATATTAAAGAAACAGAAGTTGCTGTACATGCTCTGAATGTGAAAAGCCACATTAACCTTATTGTCTCATCAGGAGAAGCCACTTTGGCATATTTGTGGTCCAGAAGGTCTCCTCTTATAAATCGCATCTGAGCCTGAGAGGCTGTCTGCATTATACAGCCATAACTCCGCTCTAATACTGATTTATAACTCGGCAACTTCTCACTGATCAATGAACCAGCACGGAGATTGAAACATATTTTGGGAAGCATGGCTAGGCCTTTTTCATTTAGTGTGTGTACAGGTCTTGAAGGTGAATGTGTATGAAGTATCAAATTATATGTTTAGTAAACAGATTTTATCATCCTGAAGGAATATATTGCAGATATGCAAATAATGTTGCTTTTAAAATAAACTTTTGGAAGAATCATAATTTACTTTTAAAAAGTGACTACAAAAAAATAGGTGATTTTAGTTCATTTATTTCTAAGAGTCATTTTTATCACTTGAACTTCATTTTGATGCAGGTTATTGATCAAACTAATCTCCATAACAACGAAAACAAATTGATGCTGATTTTTTACTGCTGAAACATTGCTCAATATAAAAACAGAGTCCTCGTGCATAATTCTTCCGGAACCCAAGTGCCAAATAGTAATGAGAGTATCCTATGATTGTGTGACAATTTATCATTGAGACAACACATCAGCGTTCAGTATTCTCTGATTTTTTATCCCTTACAGAAACACTCAGAAGCAGGTGTTGTGTTATTACTTTACTGGGAAGAAAACTAAGTCTCAGCTAGTAAATGGAAGAGCCAGGAGTAGCTCTCTACTAGACTGGGTTCGGGCACATTTTACTGCTCCGTGCTGACTCACTGAAAACAGTGTAAAGAGTTTTGCACCTATTCCCTATGAGGTGCTACCATACGGACCACGACCAGCCCATGTCTGCCCTGGGAATACAGCTCTGGCAGTTAACCTTGCAAATGGACTTTCTGAACCCCCCTGTGGGGAACGAAAGGCTTTCTAAGGAGTTCTACTTGAGGATTTTATAGCAGGTCAAGGAAACGATGCTAACTTAAGTAATAAAGGGTGTCTGCCTTAAGCCGGTATGCCCTGTAAACATCCATCTCTGGGGGATCCAATTGACAACAGCAACTCAAGAGATTAGGTAGGCAATTTAGGGGGCAGTGAGTTGACGTTAACAGGGAAGGAACAACTGTAAAAAGGAGGGTGGGAATGGTTCACAAGGTCAAGGAAGGTCCTCAATGTCACCCATGGAACTGCACGGGGAGAAATTGTTGGATTGGGCTGGGCCCTGCTCAGAAAGTCTCAACAGCAGCAACAAAAATAAATTACTTATGTACAAAAAGAACTTGTGTTTTATAGCACAAGACCTAGAAAAACATTTTTTCAAAAGCAATAAATGAAAACTATGTTAACTGAGACCCAGTTAAATTAGAAAATTGCTTCCCTGCCTTTCCAATTATGTGCCATCCAGGAATGAACCGGCACTGCCTCTGCTCTCCCAGGCTAGACAATGGAAGGCACTGCTGTAGGGCAGAGCAAGACAGCAGTAACGTGAACCAGTGTACAGCAAATGCTTTCTGCTCCGTACAAATTTAGAGTCTCTGACAACCACAGGGACAGTTCTATTCTGTCCTACCATGCCTCTTTGGGTCACAGTCAGCTGGATGGCCGAGTCTTGTTTGGGTTTGGTTTGGTGGAGGCACAGTCAGATAAATGTTGGACGGCAGACCACCAGGTCAGTGTTTCAAATACAGCAGACTCTCTGAGGTAGAACATTGAGGCTCTCTGCTCCCACAAAATTTTGCAGCCTCAAAAACTCTCTAGAGGGTGACTGTGGGTCACAATGGACTCAATAGCAGTGGGTTTGGGCTTTTTAATATCACTACGAGTTAGCAGTATTTTGGTACGTTTTTGTTTTGTTTTATTTTGGGAGGTATGTTTTAGTTTGTTGCTTGGTTTGGGTAAAGTATTATAACAGAAATTCAGCTTCTTTTTTATTTTTTAATTCTTTTTCGTAACACATGATTGGCCCATAATTTACATATTACACAATTCAAGAGTTTAATCTTTCAATCATATCCAGGGGCATTGTACAGCCACCGCCAGAGCTCCTTATGGAAACGGGTGGTTTCACCCATTCTTCCCTCCTCTAGTTCCAGTGCCTTTCTTGTAAAGGTCAACAGGTAGTGGATCGGGACAAAAGGAAACATCATATATCTATCCATGAGATTCAATCTCTTCTTAAGTGTGACTCATGAAATCTTACATAATCTTTATTTTCTGTATCTTGTCCTTTAAAATTAGGGGAAGAAGGGTTCAGAGATACATCTTTATGTAACTCATAAAAACTCTATGAAAGACGTGTTTCCACATTAAAAAGAAAAAAGCCAAGATTCAGGAATGTTGAATAAGTTTGCCAGATTCACACAGCTCAGAAGGAGCAGGGATAGGATTAGAATTTATATTGGTCTGAGGCCGGAGTGCTTTATACCATGAACTTGAAGTGATTGGATTTTGGATTTATATGCTTCAACTAAGGTGTGAATATATCCCTCAGAGCTGAAGCAGGGTGTAGGGGAAACATAGTGTCAGATAGAAAAAGGACTTTGTTGTTCAAAACTACAAAAGCAGGCAGCAGCCCTCTTGGAATCTTTATGTCCTTTCTGTCAGCCAAATTTCACATGGCTTGTCCTCTAGCATCCTTCATTTAATCCTATAAATACTAAACACCCTGAAGACTTTATTTGGAATTATGGATATCGGTTTGCCTGTTCCCTGCACTTAATGCACCCACTCCTGTGAGTACATGCTCAGAATATAAAGTCTAATCTCCCCAGGCTTGCTCAAGAAGAATTTCTTCTTCCCATTTGCTCTCATTTTAAACCCTTCTAATAACCCGAGCTTTGCTGAAGATCAGCCCCCGTTAAAACCCCTGCCCCCCCTTTTTCCTCCCCATAGATCATTACCATGAGAGATTACATTCCCAAAATCCTGGGCCCGGAGGCCTTCCAGCAATATGTGGGATTCTATGAAGGCTATGATGCCACGGTGAACCCAACGGTGTCCAATGTCTTCTCCACGGCTGCGTTCCGCTTCGGGCATGCCACAGTTCACCCTCTCGTGAGGCGGCTTGACGAGCACTTCCAGGAACACCCAGCGCTCCCCAGCTTACGTTTGCACGAGGTCTTCTTTAGTCCACGGAGACTTATCCTGGAAGGTGCGTTTCTTTCTTTGACCTTGGGCTTCATGATACGCTCTTTCTGTGTGTCTCTCAGATATGATGACTGGTCACACAAGGCGCGGGACAGGTATTTTGGTTGATTATTAGGTAGATTATCCATGTTTACGGAGAAAATGATTTTTCTCAAGCTATTTAAAAGACTGACGTCTTCATCGAAAATGCATTTCGAAAGCATTTTCTCCGTAAGCATGGATAATCTACCTAATGTGGCGAAGAAAGCTGATCGTGTCCAGCTATCAAAACGTATAGCATCTGGGGTCTTAAAGGCTTGAAGGTAAACAAGCAGCCATCTAGCTCAGGAGCAACAAAGCGCACATGGAAGTAGCACACCAGCCTGTGCGATCACGAGGTGTCAAAGGGATCAGGTATAAGGCATCATCAGAACAAAAAATCTTACCATAGTGAATGATGGGGGGAGTGCGGAGTGGAAACCCAAAGCCCATCTGTAGGCCACTGGAGATCCCCTTGCAGAGGGGTCTGGGGAGGAGATGAGTCAGTCAGGGTGCGATGTAGCAACAATGAAAAATACAACTTTCCTCTAGTTCCTAAATGCTTCCCCTCCCCGCAACCCATGATCCCAATTCTACCTTGCAAGTCTGGCTAGACCAGAGGATATACACTGGTACAGATAGGAACTGGAAATACAGGGAATCCAGGGCAGATGATCCCTTCAAGACCAGTGGTGTGAGTGGCGATACTGGGAGGGTAGAGGGAGGGTGGGTTGGAAAGAGGGCACCGATTGCAAGGATCTACATGTGACCTCCTCCCTGGGGGACGGACAACAGAAAAGTGGGTGAAGGGAGACGTCGGACAGGGCAAGATATGACAAAATAATAATTTGTAAATTATCAAGGATTCATGAGGGAGCGGGGAGTGGAGAGGGAGGGGAAAATGAGGAGCTGATGCCAGGGGCTTAGGTGGAGAGCAAATGTTTTGAGAATGATGAGGGCAATGTATGCACAAATGTGCTTTACACAATTGATGTATGTATGGGTTGTGATGAGTTGTATGAGCCCCTAATAAAATGATTAAAAAAAAAGAATTGTATGGGCCCCAATAAAATGATTTTAAAAAATAATAAAATAAACTGCAATTCTAAAAAAAAAAGAAAAAGAAAATACTTTCTCTCAACTTTCTGAAATTTTTCAAGATTCACAAAACAAATGGATTCAGGTGCAGTTGAAATCTCTATCCATGATTTAAGAACTACTAAAGTAGACATTTTCGTTTGCTATCTTACAATCTATAATATACTTTTATCACTAAACATTTCATTTTTCTTTCAAGACCATATCCTGAAAAATAAAACTTAACTGCGTTAAAGTCAACTCAAACCCACAACAACCCTACAGGACAGGGCAGAACTGCCCCTGTGAGTTTATGAGACTGGCACTCTTTAGAGGGGTAGAAATAGCAAGCTGCATCTTTCTTAGACAGAGAATCTGGTGGTTTTGAACTGCTAACCATGTGGTTAGCAGCCCAACACTATGCCACAAGGGCTCCATTCAGTAACTTATCACTCTTGGGGAAAAAACCTAAAAAAGGTGCCTTCAAATGAGTTCAAACTGAAGGTGACCCCATGCGTGTCCCAGAACTGCGCTCTGTGCAGTTGTTACTCGGTTCATATTCACAGCGGCCCTGTGTCCACCGAGGGAAGCACTGCGCAGGCTCCTGCCGTGCGCCCAGCTCTTCGGCTGCTGAGGCCAGGGTGTCTCGGAGGGTTGAGAACGACTGGTTTCTCAGATACTGAGCTCCGAGCCGTTCTTCCAAGGTTCTTCTGGAAGAAGTCGAGCAGTTGAGCACATTAACGATGGGCTTCCCTATGGCTTTATAATGTTACCTTTGGAAATGAATTCTTCAAAAAAAAAAAAAAAGTTAACTCTCTGGTTAGGCTTATGGTAAATTACCTTTTAATTCTTCCCTTCATAGTCCCTTTCTCTTGACCAATGCACTTACTTTAGGCCCACCTGGAAGTTTCTAGTTATCTCAAAGGTTGACTATTTCAGAAAGGATACAGTAGGGGTCAAGGGGTGGCTGGTTGCTCCTATAAAAATATTGACCGTCTCCAACCCTAGGCAGCAGTTGTGCTCTGCCCTGTCGGGGGTCACTCTGAGTCAGTTGACTCGGTGGCAGTTGGAACATCATCCTGCAGAGGTGGGTACCCTGCAGCCTAGTGGCCCACTGAAAGACTCCTCATATGTCATGACAACTTCAGATTGCTTGTGGCCACAGGGGACCCAATATAAAACTGATCAGTGTTTTGTGCATGGAAGAATGCCAGCGATGGGAGTAAAAGAAGATCGCTAGGCACCCTCTAAGTAGGCCTTTCGGCAAATCAGTTCTTCCTTTTCATTTTCTGTACATTAGAATTTGGCAACGACTTCCTTTCGTTGTAATCTCTCTCCTGCTGAAAAATAAAACTAAAGCCCTACACCACGGAGTGGACACCATCCCTCAGTCCTAGATGCCCTGGTCCTATAGCACTTCCTGGGTTTCACATGGTTGCTTCTCCACTAACAAAGACAGTATTCTAAGAGAGCACTGAAAACCTCGGCCTTATCTAAAATGAATTCCTAAATGATGTTTTGAGGAATAAGCGTAGGTTGTGATCTGAGCTATTATTCCATTTCTCTATAACAGATCAAAGAAATCTCTGACCTTTCTGCGACTGTTTTCCAGGTGGTGTGGACCCACTGGTCAGGGGCCTGCTGGCAAGAGCAGCCAAGGCGCAGGCGCAGGGCCAGCTGATGAACGAGGAGCTGACAGAGAAGCTCTTCGTGCTGTCGGACTCAGGCACCTTGGATCTGGCCTCATTAAATCTGCAGAGGGGCCGAGACCACGGTCTGCCAGGTCTGCTGTTGCTTCTGGGGTTCCTTTGGAAGGCTCACCCTCACACATTTGCTGTGTAATGTGGCGTATTAGCAACCTGTTCTTTGAGAGACTGAGTTAAAATGAAATGTGTCTGCACATCTATTACCAACTTTAAGAAATGGGCTTTTAAGGAACTTGAGTTCACTAAGCGAAAGAGGAAACTTCTAGTGCTTCTCAGACAATGGAAATGGCACCTAGCAGACCCTGAGCTTCACAGTACGTGCATGAGCAAAGGCACTTAGAAGTAGCATGGGGGAGAAGAGTGAGGGAGGGTTTGCTAGGACATAATGGCACCTCTGAGCCAATTTTCCCGGCTGCTGTTGGCTAGATTGCCCACCCTCTTTTCCTTTTAGTCCCTGCCAGCATGCCCCTGGGGCCTGGAGAGATGCTGCTGCCACAGCCACTGCTGCTGCATAACCATCCGATTTCCCGGCCCCCCCAGAGGCACTTTGATTCCTCATCTCAGGCCAGGCAGACACCGCACCGCACCATGCTTTCCTCTCCCCACTCATGCCTTCCTCCGTTGTCATCTATTCCATGGCATTTCCGGCTGTCACTCGGTCTCAGCTGTCCACGTCACCTCCTTTACTGAGAACTTCCCTGGCTTTCCCAACTCCCTGGAGCCTTCGCCCTCTGACCTCTGTAGCCTGTCCTCTGCCCAGCTCTAATAGCACTTGCCCCAAACCTTCATACATGATACCGAATTTCCTGTGCCCAGATCTGGACTCCCAGTGTGCTTTGTAAACTCTCCAATTTCATAAATCGCTCTATCTATGTTTCTTACTGCTGACTTATGCTTAGAAACCAAAGCAAACTGAATCTACTTCCACGGAGTCAATTCCCATGCATAGCAACCCTATGTAGGGTTCTTGATACATTTCCTTAAAGGGAGTAGAAAATTGCACACTTCTCCCATAGAGAGTCAGGTGTCTTAGAACCTCCAACATAGTCATTAGCAGTCACCAAAGCCCCTTTAGAAGTCCTATACAAATGTATGTTCATGGATTCTGTAGACACTCCAGTGGGAGCAGATCACATTCTATTGAGTGTTTCCCTGACCCCTGAGATGGAAAATTTTTCTTTGCAAAGCATTCTCCAAGGTCTACCCGAAAGTCTTTGATTTCAATACCTTCTGCACGCTGAACATTCTCTAATAACTTCTACATTCAATGTCCCACTTAATTCAATCATTCATTTATTTATTAAATGAACAAATACATGTCCGTCTTCTTGCATCTGTGAAGCAAGTTAGGTTAATATACAGGTCAATTTTTCTTCACATGGGAACCTTTAAGAGAGGATGTTTTATGCCCGTTATGCCTCCATTCCTGCCTAGCCAGCAGTGACTTCAAGGACTAGAAACAGCCAGTGCACAGGCTGTAAATTTTGGAGATTACATACAAATGTTGTATAGAACCTGGCAATATTTCAATCTGTTACAATATAGTGGTCTTGAGTTGGAGTCCACTCAATAGCAACTAACATCAATGACAATCATATAAATCGGACGGAAACAGAAGGATCTTCCTGAAAGAGACTTCTCATCTTCCCCCACCTCGGCTGGTGCTCTGGACACACCTGCTGTTTTGTCTCAAGTCCAGCGAACCTTCCATTCCCTCTTCTTGATATGTTCTCAATGCCTGTGCTGATCTATCCCACTCCCACGCTTTCTTCAAGCCTGTACATCAGCCTCGCGCGAATAAACTGACAGCTGAGAGTAACATCACCTCACTCTTCACTCCAGCCTTTCCTATTCTTTTACTCTGTGGGATTTGCTGACATTCTTGCCACCACTCCTATCACCAGACAGAATGATGGTTCATGCATACAAGCACATGCTTTTCATTTAGTTATTGTTTGTCTTGCTCCATGTAAACATGAGGGATATGTGAATGTGGCTTGTGTCCAAAGACTTGGACTGAAGTCCAAGTTAGAACCGGTCTCTTAATCCCTCTGAATTTCTACATTCGCTAAAAACAAAACAAAAAAAACAGTGGCAAAAATGTCTATTTCATAAAGTGGTTTTAATTGTTAGAGACAACATATGCAAGAATGCTCCTGGTGCCATGTGTTAACAATATATTAAAATGTTCACATGTGTTAACAATATATTAAAACAATAACAATAATGGTAAAAATAATATCCCAAAACCAAACCTAACCCACTGCAATCGAATAGATTCTGCATCACAAAATCTCTGAAGAGAAGTTCTGAGGCTATAAATCTTCATGGAGGCAGATAGCCTCTTCTGTCTCCTGAGGAGTGGCTGTGTGAGTGTGAGCTCCGAACCTCTTGGTCAGCAGTCCCCAGGCTGACAGGGCACCAGGGCCCCTATAAAAGCAATATATCTTGATTAAGTGTTGCATTATGCCAAACACTACTCTACTCGCCTTATTTCTCTCACAACTCTTGGAGATTGTGTGGTGGTTCTTTTTTTAACTGATTAGAATTTAGTAATTTCCACAATTTTCATTGTTGGCAAGTAGACAATTTTAGATGGGAAATAAAAGCTATGCCTTTCTTGTTGCCAGTTTCCATTGATTCCATTTCCAACTCAAGGTGACCTCACGGGACAGAGTGGAACTGCCCCACAGGGTGTTCGAGCCTGTTAACTTTCCAGGAGCGCACTGCGAGCTCGTCTTCCGTAGGGCTGTTGGGTGGGTTTGAACAGCCAACCATTTGGTTAACAGCTGAGCACTTAACTGCTGTGCCACCAGGGCTCCTTCCCACAGATATAATGGACCCTAAATAAAGGTTACCTAGATCAGAGGCGAAAGTAGATAATAAGCATCACAGTGGAATGCTCATTATAACCACGTGATGATGACCCCACTATGCCCTGAAATCAGTTTTGGTTGGTTTGTTTTACTTGGAAGGACTTAAGAAACTAGCCAACTTGCATGGTCGCCAAAGGCTTTTTTCCACACTCTTTCTTCCCGCACCTCCATCTGTCTCACATAAACAGGAGTATCTCAGAATGAAGCTTTCACAGTCTGAGAGTGGTGGTCCCCTGACTCTGGCACCAACTGCCTTCTGCCTCTTTCCTGTCTTCCTAAGCGCTCCACATTTTCTGCCTGAAAGACATAAATGCGTTTCTTCGTAGAGCAATGAAAAAGGAGCAAGCCTTCCTCGTTTATTTTTCTCTAGGCATAACTTAAAGCGCCAATCTCCCATAGGTACTGAAAATATTTTTTACTACTTAAAACAGATTGGAGATAGTCTACGTTACTATGAAAAAAAAGTTTCCTCTTTAATTTTAAAACTATGGTTGACTCAATATTGTAGATTTGGGTTAATTTGAAAAGAAATGCATTCTTTAGCTTGCCAACAATACACTGACTAACAATCCTCAAGTTTCATGAGAAAGGTGGAGGGTGTGTTTGATGGTCTGGCCTAAAATATAGTATGCCATCGACAGCATGTTAAAGACGAACTGTTCACTGGACCGAAGGAGCCAGCTCTGGGGGTGCCACTTGCCTCCAAGTCAGTGGTTCAATCCCACCAACTCCTCCATGGAGAGAAGATGAGGTCATCGACTCCTGTGGAAATGTCTAGTCTTAAAAGCCTGTGCAGGGTTGGCATGAGTCAGCATCGACTGAAGGGAAGTGAGTTTAGTTTGAGGATGGAAGTTATGTGAGAAAAGGTCGGGGAAACTCTAAGAGCGAGGTAGTTAGTCATCTGTCTAAGTAGCTGAACCCAAGGTTTGATGAGAGACCTGGGAATAGTCCATCCAGAAAGAGAAAACAGAAGTTGCTTCTAATATGACTTTAAAGTCATAATATCAACTGCAGATATTAAACGGAGGCAGAGCAGGGTCTCAAGGTGCAGTTCCTAGTAACATACACATATGACATACAGCCCCAGGACTGTGCTAACTCACCTAAACTGGCAATGATTGTGGGTGACACATGAGTAAAATACATGTGCATGCTTTGTCCTCATATATTAAAATCATGGATGCAACATGTTTTAAAAACTTGACTCAACACCATTAGGTAATGGTTTTCTAAAGCTTTAGCATACACATTTACTAATATTTCCTTCCTTCAAATGTCCCTTACTGTAAAATCTCTTCTCCCCAGGCTTTTTCCCCAGAGCCCAGCGTGTTTCTTTATCACTTCCATTCCTTTGCCTGACTAATTAGAAAATATGTGATTGTTTTTCCTATACCTCTCCATCTACACATGACACCGAGGTGCGTAGTCTATTGCCTGTCTCATGCATACCCAGTGTTCCCGAGCTGGGCCAGTTCAGTCATAACTGCTTTTCTATTTATGCCTGAACTTGACAGCACTGTGTGAGTGCCAACCCTGATCCGTTCGTTTGTCGTACTGGGGTGTCTGCCTCTTGCTGCGAAGCAGGAAGGTACATTGCCCATATTTGAAAAAATCAGCAGGGTCACTCATGGTGAACAGGTTTCAGCAACGTTTCCAGACTAAGAATGGATGAGTTGAGTGCCAAATATATACATATTTTAAATTAAATATATATATTTTAAAATTAATTGAGTACCTAATATATAGTTATATATACATATATGTATGTGTGTATATGTGTGTATGTGCATATATGTATATCCCAATGGGAATAAATCCCAGAAAAAGACTCCAGGTGCCAGAATGGATGAGCAAAGAGAAAATAGTAAAGAACATTGACGTATGTTCTGATTAGCCTCAGCTCCAAGTGCTAAGTGAGCACTTTAAAAAACTCACCTCACCTCACCTGAAGGAAGGAGAAAGGTTTCTAGAGGAGACAATAGCTAAACTGAGATCAGTTGACTGAGGATGATAACGTAAAAGTAAGGGAGTAGGTTTTTAGAGAAAAGGAGAAATTAAGTCTGGACACACTCAGGCAAAGCCAGAGTGTGTGAGCAAAGTAATCTGGGGGAGTGATGAGGACACAGACCATAAAGGAGGGTGCAATATAAGAAGCTGCAGAGCTCGCCAAGGACCAGACACCAAGGGCTTTCTTTGACATCAAAATTTGGAAGTTATCCTGGAAGCAGTGGGAGACGGTTGAAGATCCTAAACACGAGAGATCATTGGTCAAAGAAAGTGCTCTATGTCCATCTCCCTGTTGGTGGGCATGTGTGTGCACTCGTGTTTGTGTGATGGGGAGCAGAGAGAACAAGAGAGGGGCCAGGGAAGGAGAGAGCATATGTGCTGGGGTCATCGGTAGAGAATTAAACCTATACAAGGTCAGACCCATGTCTCGGCTGTTCTGCAGTGTAGAATTTAGTGTAGGCTGGGTAATTGTATGGAGCCACTTAGGAGTCATGGATTTAATATTGTTGCTCTCTCCAAACTCCTTCGTGAATAAACTCTTCACTAAGATCTCTAAAATCTCTGCTGAAATATCCTGGAGTGTTGAACTCTACAGGGTGTAGGGTCATTAGGTGGTTTTCTCGGTGGCTGGAAATTATGGACAGGATTCTATAACGCTACAATTGTTTCAGTGGATACAGAATCAATGAGGTATGCTGCATGAATATTCAGAGCACTGTGGGGAGGGGAGGGAAACACCTTCAACCCTTTTGCCTTGTGTAGGTTATAACGAATGGAGAGAATTCTGCAGCTTGCCCAGACTAAAGACACAAGCCGACTTGAACACTGCCATTGCTAACAGGAGTATTGTTGAAAAGATAATGAACTTATATAAGCATCCAGATAATATTGATGTCTGGCTGGGTGGCTTAGCTGAAAACTTCCTCCCAGGGGCTCGGACTGGTCCCCTGTTTGCATGCATCATTGGAAGACAAATGAAGGCTCTGAGGGAAGGTGACTGGTAGGTATTCACAACCAGTTACTTTTTATACCCAGATGGAAGGCAGCATGCAAGTTATTTCTCTGAGCTATAATTCTTCCTCTACTGTAAAGATGATTGTTATGAAATGCTAATACATTCAAAGCACACAGCATGTTTTTAAACCCTTGAAAAAATGGTAGCTGTAATTCATTTTGCTAGATCATCTAATCTCACAGTCTGACATCATGTGGAGAACCAGTTTTATTCCGTGATGATCTGAAAGTATATTCCATGTCTACAGGTTCTCTGGAAATGTCTTATTGTCAGAAAACTCCTATTGACATTCAAAAGATGGAATCTGAGAAGATCATATTTAAAAGCATGGAGGGGTGTTTTGTTTTGGTTTTGTACAGACAAACTATCGAGTTTCCTTCTCAGTCTTCAGCTTTCCACCCTAAGCAAAGATTTCATTTTCAGGTAGCAAAAAGCTGAGATACTCAACACTATTGCCCTTACACCTTTTTACTCCCTTTTCAACATCAACCAAGACTTTCAAATCCTGCATACGGGCACTTCAAAAGCTGATGAAAACAATTGAACAAAACGATTATGATTTTTCTCCCTGGACATTTTGAAGCCCCCACATATATAGGCAGAGAGAAGAATCCTGCTGGTACGATGGGTTCAGCCTGGGCTTTAAAACAAAAGGTCAGTGGTTTGAACCCACAAGGGGATCCTGAAAATCTTTTCCTGATTGCAGTTTACGAAACCTTATGGGACAGTTCTCCTCTATTCCTCAGTCGCTGTGGATCAGAAGAGAGCTGACAGCACACTACAGCACCGCTTGAGGGAGTTCAGAAAGCAATTGTTTACCAACTCTTTAGCCTCCATATGCCACAGTAGAAAACTATGAGTTAGTCGTTGGGGAACCATAGAGATGAAAATAATAGGAATTCATAAAGAGTCCCTATGTCATGAGTTATTTTCTTCCTTGTCCTCCTTTTTTCCTCCTCTCTCTGTTTTCCTACTTTCCCTTCTTTGTCTCTTTTCTCCTCTGCCTCCCTCTCTTCCTGGTCTGTTTCTGGAGTCACTATGACTACGTGACTGAGACAAATTGTTTTTCAAGAATATTCATGTTTCTTCAAGAGAGTATATTAGGCATTTCCTAAGGCTCTGCTTTTCTCATTAATTTCTGAAATGCAACATTTCAAATCATTCAGAACTCCTGAAGAGATATAACTAGGAGAAGCTGCATACTCAAAATCGAATCTTTAGCAAACTCCTGCCGGTTAAAATATGATGGAGCGTGGGAAGTGCCACTTCAGACAATGATATATTTCTTCAGCTTGTAGATTATTATGCTTTTATGATATTCCCTTTGGTGGGAGCACAACTTAAGCAGCAAACACAAGATGCAAGCAGATTCCTAGAGTGACGTTGTTAATTTTTCATCCTGATTATTTATAATATAAAATCTGACCAAGTGTTAATATATAATTAGGCTCTTTTCACACTCTAAGAGCAATTTGTAACCATGTGTGAAGGAAGGAAAACTTTACAGAATAAATGAAATATCCTGATTTTATGGCATTCGGGCAGAAACAATTGGAGCTTTATCAGTGATTCAATATTTTGAGGTTAAAAAAAATGACTATTTTTCCTAATGTTGCAATTTCTCACAGTAAGTATGACTGGGAAGAAAAGATAGGAGGTAGAATGACCCCGATACAACATTTTAGATTTCTTATAAACAGTAGCACTTTGTAAAATAACTGAATTTGTTGTTATTGTTTTTATTTTTGAAACAGCTCTCCACTGCCACCACCCTTTTCCCCCTAAGTAAGATCAATGCAGCAAAATAGCTTGGCACAAAAAGATGCAATGGGTTGTAAGAACTCCTTTCCTTAAAATTCTGTTGTTTTCAGCCAGTCCGTAGAACATAAATTACTGGAGTAACTTGCCTCCTCATTTGCCATTCGCTTCCTCAGACGACGACGGACGTGGGAAGTCCAGACTTTGCCTCTGACTTTCCACATTACCGCTTAGCAGGGCCTGTGCCAGGAATGGCTTCCCTTGGTGCCTCTGCGGAGAATCCTTGGCATGTTTGAAGTATGTGCTCAGTGAAAAATGAGTAGAAGAGTTTTCTACATCAGTGTTCTGACACTGCTTTCTTGTTCTGTGGAGGTTTTGGTGGGAAAACAGACATGTATTTACTGAAGCGCAAAGGCATGAACTGGAAAAACATTCTTTATCCCGGATAATCTGTGACAGCACAGGCCTCACCAGAGTACCAGCCGATGCCTTTCAAGTTGGAAAATTTCCTCAAGAATTTGAATCATGTGAAAATATACCACAGATGAATTTAGAAGCATGGAAGGAGACCTTTGAGCAAGGTAAATATAAGCTTTTCCAATATATACATTGGAATACATACACACACACACACATATATATACATATTACAGAGATTTAATCATAGAAAGTATATCTTCCAAAATAAGCTAAGTTTTAATAAGGACCATTTGTTGCAACTTAATGTTGTTTCCTGAGTATCTACTTCTCAGGTGAGAAAGGATTTTGGAATTCTGATAAAAATTAGTTAACCTGGGTCCTCCCAATTAACAAAACATTGGCCAATAGAACACTCTGTCACTGACTGCCTTGTGTCATTGTGTGCTAAAAGAATGACCGTCTGGGGATTTCTCAAACTCAGTCTTAATGACACGTTGTGTCACATACATCTTTGTTGATGAAATCGGTGCTGTGCTTGGTAGTGTCTTTAGAAGAAACGCTGTTCTCGCTCCACAAGGTTCCCAGGCTCCCTCACACAGTATCAAAAGGTCCACATGTTTCCAGATGTGCTCAGGAGCAAAAAATCCACCCTATCTGGGAACAAAGAGAGAAAATAAAGAGACAAACACCGGACGACAGAGAAAAGAAGGTTTTAGAAATACACAGGACAATTTACCAGGCACTTGAAGATTCCTTAGGATTCAATTTATGTAAGCAAAGATTCCAATTTTAAGACTACGTACCACGAAAGTACACTTCTAATAAATGACGAGGAGTCAGACTTGAAACCAAATCTTCTCGTTTCAAATTTCATACCGAGCATGCCTAAACAAAATAACAGTTTGAATGGTACAAATCGTAATTATTCACAGTAGGAAATACTTACCTTGTTCTTCTGTTATTGTTTATAACACGAATTCTGGCTCAAAGCAAGAGTTAAAAGAAAATAGTTTGTGAGTACCTCATATGTGCTCCTGGTGCTGAGAATATATCTCTGAAGAGAAGTGCGCACATGCACACACACACAGACATACTCATTGATTTTCATAGTCCATACATTCTAGAAAGGGAACGCAGACAATTAACAAATAAATAGGTCGCATATTTCAGGGTAAACAAAAAAGGCATTGCTGCTAAGATTCTTGTTCACACGTGCACAGGTTTAATCCAAATGAAATGTAATCGAATATGTCTCGGGATCCCACATGGGTTTAGACAAGTTGTCTCCTAACAAAGAAAAAATCCAATTAAAACAATCGCACAGAGAGGGTCTATGAGGCTATGAAATTCAAGACAGAGAAGTCAACTTGGGTTATAGTAACACGTATTTAGGGATTCACAAATGGGTGATCTTGATAAATTTTTTATGTGGGAATTTTTTTCTCATGTCTCGGAATATTCAGGGGACTTATTAAGAAGTAGTTCAAAAATAAAAACATATTAAACTATATTGGTGAGAAAAAGGCTACAAGAGTAGAATCAAAGAGTTGTCTGCCCCCCCCCCCCATTCTGACAATGTACCTTCTTCTCATTTGTCAAGGGGATCCTGGGCTGAGGGGATCCTAGGCTGCCTTGAAATACTTTAATTGAGACACCTTAGCTCAACCACGTACAGCTCTGAGAATATATAAAGAAACGTGATTTCAGGATATTAAAACTGTCATTTTGTTGTGGTGCAAGTGGATGAGTGCAGAAGTCTTCAAGGAAGGGTTAAGCAAAATGGAAGCAGCACCCTCAAGGGTGTAGACTGGGTGTTGTTGTCAGGTGCCACCCAGTCAGTTCTGACTCACAGCCACGTTGGGTTTAACATAATAAAACACTCATTATCGTTACCATCAAACCCACCATTGCATCCACTGTGTCAGTCCATGTTTTCAAAGGTCTCTCTCCTTCCCCTGCCCCTCGACTTTACCCAGCATGGGGTCTTTATCCAGGGACTGAGCTCTGGTGATAACATGTCCAAATTACTTGAAACTAAATCTCACCAAGACTGCTAAGGACCATCTGGCTATACTTCTTCCAAAACAGATCTTTGCAGTCCATAGTACTTTAAATATTCTTTGCCGGCACAATTCAAATGCACCGATTCTTCTTGGTTTTCTTTATTCAATGTCCAATGTCATATGCATATGAAACAATTGACTATACCATAGCTTGGGTCTGGCACACCTTATTCCTTAAAGTAACATTCTTGCTTCAAGAGGTCATTTACAGCAGATTTACCCTATGCAATGTGTAATGTAATCTCTTGACGGCTGCTTCAGTGAGCATAGATTGTGGATCCAAGCAAGACAAAAATCCTTGACAAATTCAACCTTTTCTGCATTTCTCATCATGTTACCTATTGGTCCGGTTCAGAGGACTTTGGCTTTCTTTACATTAAGCTGTAATCCATATTGAAGGCTGCCATTCTTGATCATCAGTAAGTGCTTCAAGTCTTCACTTTCGGCAAGCAAGGTTGTGTCACCTGCACTTCAAAAGATAGTAATAAGATTGCCTCTAATCCTGATGGCACATTCTTCTTCTCATAGGCCAGATTCTCTGCTTATTTTCTCAGCATTCAAATTGAATAAGTATAGTGAAAGGATATATCCCTACACGCATCTTTCTTGATTGTAAAACATATACCGTCCCTTTGTTCTGCCTCTTGATCCATGTGTGAGTGCCAAATGAGCACAATGAAGTGTTCTGGAATTCCTATTCTTCTCAAGGTTATCCATAGTTTGCTAAGTTTAGTTGCTGGGCATAATCAATAAAACACCAGTAAACACCTCTCTGCTATTCTCTGCTTGGAGGCAAGACCCAGCTAACATCCACAGCAATATCCCTCAGTAGAGGGCCTGCAATTCTGGCAGCTCATTGTCTTGTACTGATGCCATTGCTGAACAATCTTCAGCAAAATTTTACTTGCTAAGATGATAAACTATTGAATTGTATGATTTGTTAATTATATGCAAATGAAATTGTTAAATTTTTAAAAAGACAAAAATAAATTTCTTTGCACATGATATCAATGATAAAAAAACACCAAAAAAACAAATGTACTGCTATCCAGTTGATGGCGACTCAAATCCATCCCCTGGTGGGTTTCCAAGAGTGTAACTATTTAAGGGAGTAGAAAGGCCTGTCTTTCTCCTGAGGAGCATCTGGTGGTTTTGAACTGCAGACCATAAGAATCGAAGCCCAATGCATATGCACAACCACCACACCATAGTTTTCACATTCTGTTGGGTCACCTTTCTTTGGAATGGATACAAATATGCATCTCTTCCAGTTAATTGGCCTGCTAACAGTCTTAGAAATTTCCTGGCATACATAGTGAGTACTTGCAGGGCTTCGTCAGCTTGCTGAAACATTTCAATTGATAGTGCATCCATTCCTGGAGTCTTGTTTCAGGCTAATGTCTTGGCTAGTGCAGTTTGGATTTCTTCCTTCAGCGCCATAGGTTGTAGCTCATATGCTACCTCTTGGAATGGTTGAACATCAACTCCTTTTTAGTACAGTGTTTCTGTACATTCTTTCCCTCTTCTTTTGGTGTTTCCTGCATCATTCAATATATTGCTAATTGAGTCTTTTACGATTGCTTTGCAGGCCTGACTTTTCCTTAAGTGCTTTCAGTTTCAGATACACTGAGTGTGTTCTCCTTTTTGGTTTACGAACTCTAGGTCTTGGTACATTTCATTATACTACTTTGTTTTCTCAGGGTTCCCTTTGAAATGTTGTATTCAGTGCTCTAGCCTCGTCATTTTTTCCATTTGCATTGGCTTCTCTAAAATTAAGAACAACTTTTAGAGTCCCGTCTGTCATCCACTTGGATCTTTTATTTATTACCTAACTGCTTGATGACCTTTTGCATTCTTCAGGTACGATATCCTTGATGCCATCCCCAGCTTCTTGTGTCCTCCTTCATTTACTGTTCAATACAGCCAACCTGTCCTTGAGACGTCCTTGAAATCCAGGGGAGGTATGCGCAATGTTGTATTTTGGTACTCACAGACTTGTTTGAATTGCCTTCCACTTCACCCTGAACTGACAGATGAGCAGGTCTGTTCCAGAGTTAGGCGTGGCCGGAATTTAATTGCTGATAGTGAGTTTCTCTATTGTTTCATCTACAGATGTAGCTAATTTCAATTCTTTATATCCCTTCTGGTGAAGTTCATGTGGACAGTCATTATCTGCGTTGTTAATATGAGGTATGCTGCCATGTAATGAATGTCTAGCTTTGTTTCTGTCACCAGGACCATATTTTCCGACTCCTGAGCCTTTCTCTTTGTTTTCAAGTTCCTCATTCCAGTCACTGATAATAATCAATGCATCTTGATTACATGTTTGATCAAGTTCGGACTCAAGACATTGGTATAGGCAGCACTAGCTTTAGTGGTCAGTGTGTAAACTTGAATCATAGTTGTATTTACTGGATTTCCTTGGATACAGATAGATATTATCCTATTACAGACAGTACTGTACTTCAAGATAAACCTTGAAATATCTTCTTGCTAATGAATGTGACATTATTTTTCTTGAAGTTGTCATTCCTGGTCTAGTAAACCATCTGACTTCCTGACTCAAAGTGGCCAACACAAGCCCATTTCAGCTCACTAAAGCCCAAGATAGCAATCTTTATGTGTTACATTTCATCTATAACAACTCAGTGTTCATAGATTCATCCATTATACATTCCAAGTAGCAATTATTAGTCAATGTTTTCAGGTGCTTCTTCTTATTGTTGAGTCATGCCCCATCAGTAAATGAAGGTTTCAAAGGCTTTCTTTCATCCACGTTATTATTGTCCGCTCTTCCTTGAGAAAGCAGCTCTGCTTCAATCATACTTTGAGTGCCCACCGACCTGACCCACTCATTTTCTGACAATAATCTGCAGCTGTTCGTGAGGGTCTCAGTGTTGGACAATGTTCCACTACTATTAAGAAAGCTTCCAATGGCTAATTCCTCTGCAGTGCTCAACGTATGCCTTCATCATAGTCTTTTATCACTCTAGACCCTCAGCTGAAACCTGTTCCCTTTGGGTGAATCTGCTGCTGTAGGAATTACCATTGACATAGCTTCCAGCATCACAGCAACACACAAACCACCAGAGTACAATAAATTAACAAACAAGTGAGGACATGTTTAGAAATAATAGTTCTTCATTTTGATATTATATTATAGCAATACTTTTGGACTGACCTTTGTATATAGTATGTCACATATCATAAGCACAATAGCTCGAAAAAATAAAATATCAAAGGTCAATTGCAATTGGCTGCAATGAAACGAGTAGGGAATGAGAAGAAGGCAAAATATGCAGAAAAGTAACAGTGACAGATCATATGGCCATTGTAAGGACTTACTCTCTCTTATTCTGAATAGAACACAAATCTACAGGGGGGGTGTAAACTGGTGTATATTTTAAAAGAATCTCTTTGGCTACAGGTTAAAATCCACTAGAGACGTGGGGGAGCACATGTGAAAGCAGAAAGAGAGTCGAGGGCTATTGCATAGTTATTCCATAGTTGAGATGGGAATGGCTTGGGCTCTAAATGGTAGCTGTAGAAGTAGTGAGCGGTGGCCAAATTATAGACATGGTTTGAAAACAGACTCAATATGATTTATTATTCATTAAATGTGAATGTGGCCAAAAGTGAATAGTCATGATGACTATAAGGTTCATCCTGAAACAAGTGGAAAAGTAGAATTCTGATTATTGAAAAAGTTCACTTTTGAAGAAAATAAGTATGGAACAGAAGATTCAAGTTTTGGGGTTTTTTTTTAAAACATTTTATTAGGGGCTCATACAACTGTTATCGCAATCCATACACACATCAATTGTGTAAAGCGCATTTGTACATCATTCTCAAAACATTTTCTTTCCACTTAAACCCCTGACATTAGGTCCTCATTTTTCCCCTCCCTCCCCACTCCCCCCTCCCTCATAAGCCCTTGATAGTTTATAAATTGGTATTTTGTCATATCTTGCCCTGTCCAACGTCTCCCTTCACCCACTTTTCAGTTGTCTGTCCCCCAGGGAGGAGGTCACATATAGTTCCTTGTAATCGGCTCCCTCTTTCCTACCCATTCTCCCTTTACCCTCCCTGTTTCGCCACTCACACCACTGGTCCTGTAGGGCTCATCCGCCCTGGTTTCCCTGTATTTTCAGTTCCTTGTGTATTTGTTAGGTTTTAGGTACTTATTAGACAACATATATCTGTATATGTGTATATATATATATATATATATCAGAGAGTAGAATTCAAGATAAATTCCAAACAACACATACAAATTATGACTTTATCATAACTATGAGGTGATTTCAAGAAGTTCATGGAAAGCTGGAATTAAAAGATAATAGAATTGTTCCACAACATTTTGAAGCCCCCTCAAACCATGTATAGAAATTGTATTCAATGCCAAGAAAGTGGAAGAAACCACCTGGGGAGTGAATACAGAAAGGAGAAGTGGGACTGAAAACGGAACCCATCTACACAGGTGGAGTTGAGGCAGGTGATAAAGAGTTAGGAAAGACACCACAAAGGACTCCGTGGAGCTGGAAGGAAGCTAGCGGCTTGCCTTTTCTAGGGAATTTAACTGGAGCAAGTGTGTGAAGAATGGAATACCTCTAGTCTGGAATGCTTTTAAAGCGAAAAAATAGTTATTGTTGAGTTCACACATGCTCTTGGTGATCCCGTGTGTGTGAGAATAGAACTTGGCTCCACAGGTTTTTAATGACAGGTTTTTCACAAATTCTCTTTCGAGATAATGAGACTTGATTGCAGCATCATCGAGGCACCTCTGTTTAGACTGAAACCTCCAGCCTTTCCACTAGCGGCTGCACCATTTATTTGAGTATACTCAAATAAATTTGAGTATACTCAAATAAATTTGAGTATACTCAAATAAATGAGGAAGTATCCATCACGTTTAGCAGCAATGAAGCCATTGTTAAACTTATTAATATCCAAATCTTGTTGAATTTGGAGTAGAACCCTGATAGGGGCTGATTTGTGAGACAGTAGGAAGAGAAGAATTAGAGTGAAGTACTTACAAGTATCTCAGAACGTTGTGCTGCAAGAAAGCAGCTAGGTGAGGCTGGCATGCGAACTTAATTGAAAGAGAACTGAGTGTGCTTGCCAAGTTATAGAAAAAGAACCTATCAAGGGAGACACTTGCTGAAGCAACATTCTTGGGAAGCCAAGGAAGGATGGGATATAATCCAAAAGGGAGGAAATGAATGGATGCATTTTAATGTATTCTGACATCTCAATCCTACATAGATGAGACGTGTGCTTTCCCCGCTAACGTGGACGATGGAGACTTCGTGCGCTGTGACGCATCGGGAAAGCGCGCCTTGGTGTATTCCTGCCATCACGGGTACGAGCTTCACGGACAAGAACAAATCACGTGCACAGACAAAGGATGGGATTTCCAGCCTCCCACTTGTAGAGGTCAGTTATCTACAGAAACGTGTATTTTTTTAAAAAGTTATTTTATTATCAGAAATAAAAATCTTTACTTTTCAAATGGACATTAAGAATAAATATTCATTCACTAAAAAGCATCCGAGCATAATTATATCATCAGGAATGGTTTTGGTCATGGAAATAAATTATTCCCTCATGTGGGAGTTACATAATCTTTTGTCAACTTGAACAAAGGGGTAGAATTTAGCCTGTCAATCTGGTCATAGCCAATGAGGCCTCTGTCTGGGCATGGTCTTATCCTGAGGATTCTGGGAACTCCTGTCTTGCTCTCTGGAGGCAGGACACATTCTTCCTGTGAGACATTCCTGTGGACAAGTCACATGGAGCTATGCTGATGGAGCCAGAGCTCTGGAACTGGCGGGACCACGTGGAGACCCACTCCAGCGCTGAGATGCTTCCACCACTGGATCCACAAGACTTTTCACCCACAGGCTGTCATCTTCCTGCATTTGGCATCATTGCATGTGTTGCATGAGTCTGAAGAGGAATTTATAGACTGGTATGGGGCATATGGGCTAATATCAGATTTATGGTCTTCATGTGGACTGGGCCAGGATGTTTTCTTAATATACAATTACTCTTTGATATAAAGCTCATTCTTATACACACATATGAGTCTCCCTAGATTTGTTTCTCTAGTCTACCTGGACTAACACACCTCATTAGTTAACTATGTCCCCAAACTGACATCTGTCTAGATAATGAAACTTGATTGATGCTTCAAAGTCGCGATCATCTAACAGGACTGCAAGGTGAAGTAGCGGAGCCATGAAAGGGAAAAAGAAATAACATCTAGAGGAGGTTTGCAGTAAAGAACTTACAGAGCCAATTTCTGAGATGAAACAAAACATAACAATGTTTTCCACGGCTATCAGTTTCCTAGGGATGCTATAAGAAACTCCCACAAATGAAGTGGCTTATAACCACAGAGATGTATTGGCTCAGAGATCTGGAGCTAGACGCCCCAATTTAGGATGTGAGCAGGACCCTGTTGTATCTGAAGGTTTTCAGGGAAGATGCTTTCTAATCTTACTCAGTTGGATAGTGAGGAATCCTTTGACTTTCAGATGCACCTTCGGCATGTCGTTTATGCACCTTCTGACGATTTTCCTTCCCTGTCTGCCTCTTTTATAAGGAGTCACTTAGACTGGGTTATGAGCCATCCTACTCCAATATGACCTCTTGTTAACTGATAACATCTTTAAAGACCTGTTTCCAAATAAAGTCAAGTTCACAGTTACGGGGACACAATGCATTCCATGACACATTCTAAGAATTTAGACGTTAAGATCTGACAACATGCCCTTGCCCTGTTGATTTGATTTTCAAACCCATTTTTTTCATCCTCAGTCTCAGGATATGTTTGGTACAGCAGCTAGTGTCGCCTAACTAGTCCAGATAAAAAATAAAACAAATACAAATATCTTTTAAAACATGGCATTGGCTCAGGTGATGGGCAGTGAAGAAATTGATATGAGAAGCAGAAAACATGATTACCCATCCGGGCAACAAAGGAAACATGCATTTAAATCTACTTTCAATGACTTGAAAGGAATACCATTTGCCTGCCAAGATTGGATTTCTATTCATTCAGCAGTTTGGAATCAGAAATAGACCATAGTATATGCAACTTCTTATGATCTAAATTTAATATGATATTAGAAGAGATAAACTCATGCGAGACATTAGCTAACTACTAACAGAAATAGAAACAAATAGATGGAGGGTTTTTTTTTTTTTCTTCTTTGAATGATTGCAAGATCACCTTCTTCTAGACTTGGAATTGTAGGAAATGAGACTGGGAAAGGCAGCCCAAAAGATCCATTCAGACTTAATCCTGTGGCAACTACCAGAAGCCGACTATCAACTGTAAATCACTGGGGACCTTCTGTGTCAGAGCAGAGGTGTTCGCTATGAGGTTTTCAATCATTGGGCCTGTTGTTGTTGTTACTGTTGTCTTTTCTTTTTAGACTTAACCTTCCTTCCCCTGACTGTGCACGCGTCTCTCAGCTACTAGCCAGAGGTTAACCATTTGCACTGTCCAGGGACTACTTTACATTAAGCTCATTTTAAATTAAGGTAGAATAGATGAGAATGCAAAGAAATAAAGGTAGCTGGCTTGGGAATTATATCTAGGACATAATCTTAAAGGCCATTAATGGCACATGAAACCCACTGGAAACAAATAGAGCAGAAGCCAGTTACATATGTGAAGGCCTTGATTGCTGAAATATCTCACAAACCTAAATTGGGAAAGCTTTTGGTCTAAATCTTCAGACTCCCATATTTCCCCAGTAAGAGGTGGGCTAAATATTCCCAAACACTGCTTTTTAACTTGGTTGTGAGTAATAATAGACAAAGAAAATCTGCCAAGAAGACAAGGATACAGAGAACAGTGGTCAAGGGCATACATCCAAGAGCTTCACTTTTCAGAAGCCTGAATTTTCAGGACCCAACTGCTGTGCAAATTGTGGCAGCATCTGTATGCGTTTGTTACTACCCCTGACTTGTCTTTTTAATTACTCCTCATCATTACATTCAGTAGTTCATTCTTTAGTGGAAAAATATGAAAACCTGGAAATTTGGGGGGTTGTTTTAGCTTAGTGGCTGTGCAACATTGAAATGCTCACTTTATCCAAGTTTCCTTGATTTTAATGTTGGCAGCACAACCAAGCAATACATGGTGTTTACTTCAGGGCTTAGTACATTGCATGTTTTATATTTAATAAACCTTCATATGGTATCCATTTCATTTGTACAGCTTACATATTTTTGCCTGAATGTCTAGATATTATATATATATATATATATATATATATATATATATATAGAGAGAGAGAGAGAGAGAGAGACTTTTATTTTAGGTATTTATGACTCAAATGCTCTATTCGCAGGGATATGTGTGGTACAAAAAGAAAGTAAAAGTTAAGAAGTATACAAGTATAGGAAAATCCCATATATCCTCTATACCATCTGCACTGACCTACCTATCACCCTCTGAACACTCTGTGACTTTCTGGCCTATATGACATTACTTACACTAGCTACTATATCTGGAATAGCTTCCCTGCCTCCTCCAGATAATTTAAGAATGCCATCAAAATTAACCTTTTATTTCAGAAAGTTTTTTCACAATCCTCTCCTCTCACTCTATCCTTTAAAGGGTTTTTCACCCTCCATACAACCATTATTACCCTCTCTTAATAGTAAACTCATTGCCCCATAAGGATGCTCTCTCATCTTTCAACTACGTATTGTAAATTTGATCCCATATGGACTGGTGTTAAAATAGCGCAATGCTTAGACAGGCAGGCTGACTTTAAGAAGAGTATAAGGGATGCCCAGTCTGTTTTTGCAACATGCAACCAGAAACAGTTCTTAGTTCCATCTGTGAGCCAGTGTTACATAGGAACCAAGGCCATTCCCCCATATGTCCAGCAGTCATGTGCACGATCTTGTCAACAGACCAGCTAGGCCAGCATCACCTGGGAGCTTGTCGTAGATGCAGGCTCTCGGGCTCCTCACAAACCACTTAGAATCTGAACTTTGTTAATGATTTTGTGTATATTAGGGTTTGAGAAGCCCTGTTGACTAACCCTAAGTGCCTCCTTCTCTGTTGCCGCTGACGTGCTTCATTCGGGCTTTCATCCTCCTGTGTCTCCTTCTTTATTCTCCATTTGCTGATCTACAAATACAGCCTCTTCATGACTCCTGCAGAATCCAACTCTGGTTATTGCATGAAAAAAAACACACCAACTCTTCAGCAGCTATACATTTACACTGTGAAACCATTAAAAGCCTTAGTAAATAGTCTAGAACTTTTGGAGGGCCCATTTCTTTCTCACCTTCCCTAGTGCAGTGCCTGTCATTCTTCACCACCCCTGCCCCAACCCCGCCCCCATATTTCCATCCCAGTTCTGTCCTCAGACATGATGCATTCTCTGGGCCTGGAACTCCCTATCCCTCCATCTACCAAGTATGCAGCTCACTGACCACGCGGAGTGCTTCTTCTCTGGCAGGCGGTCTTGAACCAGGCTTCCACTGCAACTCCTTCCACAAGAGAGTGAGAACTCATCACTGCTATTTGGTCTAGAAAAATGTCTCAGCTTCTGGTGGGTCTGTGATTTCAAATAGGAAATGAGAATGGAAATGATGTCGACCTCAGTTATTATTCATTTAAGCTAATTAAGAAATGCACAGTGCATAAAACAAGGATTTTAATTAAGAAATACACAGTGCATAAAACAAGGTGCATACTAACATAGGTAGTGTTTAAAACAATGGCCATTATTATCTTACAAATCTGTCCCCTATGGTGCAGTATGTGAACTGGTCATGAAGAATAAATTGAAGGCATTCATTCAACAAATATTTATCGAGTGTCAAATCCTGCGCTATGCTGTAGGATATAGACATGTCTTGAAGGAATTACAGCAGCATCACAACAGAATAAATGAAAAAATAAACAGCTTTGAAAAGTGGCCATGATTGCCCTTTGTTTTCACCACCTGAAGATTTAGAAAGAGCCCACTTGAGTATTTTTCTTTCAGTTAAAAAATAATAAGCCGCCTTGGTGTATAATTTTATCAGAAGAACTTTTAATGACAAGGGAGCTAAATCCGCCACTGCCATCTGCCTTCAAGTCTAGTGTGACTCCCAGCGACCCTGTAGCACAGGGCACAACTGGCCCTGTGGGGTTCCACGACTGTAGCTCTTTGGGGGGTGGGGGGATGGGGGTAGAAAACTTCGTCTTTCTCCCACGGAGCAGCTGGTGGTTTCAAATTGCTGACCATCTGGTTTGCAGACCAAGACGTCATTACTGCACCACCACAGCTTATATATTTTAATAAAAACAAGTTTGACATGATTGAACTATTGAATTGTATGATAGTTGGATTATATACCAATAAAACTATTTAAACAGAAAAATATCAAACTCACTGCCAACTCATAGTGATCCTGTA